CGAGTTGGGTGAAATATGTTTTGAAATGCCGCGATTTTCACAGTTTATCGTCAAAATTTGAACTTGAAAAGTTCACAAAAAAAACTACTACATTACGCTTGAATTTTTTTCGACTACCAAGTACAACTTGCGATAAATCTCGTGTAAAATAATTGAATATTTTTGCTCGGCCAAAAAATTTTAATCCGCATCAAACTAAACAATAAAAAAACACGAAAATGTCTAACGCCAATAATAAAGAGCGCCAAAAACGCCAGAATAGTTTGACAATTTTATCACGTCCGGAAAAGACTAATATAAAATTATAGAATGAAAATGGCAGGCCTTTACGATTATTTATAATCGAAAATATTGAATCCAAAAACTCACAAGTAATATTTTCCGTTTTTCTTGAGTTTTTACTAGGTTTTCTCCCTTGCTTTTTCCTATTATCACGAAAACTAAAATGGCCTCCCGATTCACCAACAAGACGATATTTTCTTTCAGAAAAGATGCTACACTCGAAAATCACAGTAAGATTTTCGGTAGAAAAGTTGTTCGCAGACACAAAACAGTAAAAATAAGAGCACACACCGAGTTGAACTCCGAGTAAAATACATAATTACTCGCTGCAGTGTTTATAAAATCAAAAAAATAAAAAAAAAAAATTGCTGCTTAACACGATTCGCACCGGTATAGTACATTTTCGGTCGTATTACACTGTTGTGTACATATTGTAATATTATCGAAGGAATCGTCTGGTGGTCCGAAAAAAAAACCCATTACGATATTATACTTGGAAAATGTTCGGAACTTTTTGGTAATGACAATATTCTGCCCACGTCTTTAATTCGATCGAAAACGTGCACCGAGTACCGAGAAATCGCATTTGTCTAATTTTGTTTTTAACAAGATACTCTACGCAAAACTTTTTGAGCGTTTGTATGAGTATTATTATACCACGCTGCGGTAAAGTGTCGAAAATGACAAAATAAAAGCGCACACGTCGTCGTCATGAAACTCGTTTCCAATCGGATTGGCGAATATAATAAGTAAACAGATAATGCTGTGAAAAATATATTCGTGAGCGCATATGATAACAATAATTGCGTACGAGAAGTTTTGTTGAGACGGATAAAAATAATTTTTTTTTAAAGCATCGCAATAATATAATGCAATATAGGTTAGGTGCCTCTCACGTCGTCGTTTAAATGCGTACGATTTTCGTAACCTCTTGAAAAATTACCGAAACGTATATTACAGATACGGTCGTGATAGTTTTGATTGATGTTACGACGTGTCACCGCATGACGATTTATTATTATAACAGATAATAATATTATAAAAGGTATGCAGCGGAAATTCCCGACGGAACATACAGGGTGTTTTTCGGCGGTAATTCAAATAATTTATCACGTTTTCGACGTACCCGTACCTCGCTGTCGTATACCAAAGCGGACTCCGAAGAGCACGATTTATATTTCGGAGGGGAAGTCGAACTCCACTCCCCCCAGTCCAAAACCTTTACCCTCCGTTCGCTGTTATTAGGGTAAGAAATACAACAAACTTCGTATTTTCATTTTAAACGCGACAGTCCAATATACGAGGTGATTAACGAAACGCGTAAGACACTCATTATATTACTCGGCGAGAATAGGAATTAACTTTTTTCGGAATTTGTTTTTTTAGAAAATTTTTTTAATGAAATCGAAATAAAATAGTCATTATAATATATTTTATTCAACAATATTTGTTTAATATTGTACTGATTATCCCGGTTTTTCACATTTTCTGGGAAAACCTAACCTTATCTAACCTTACTAAAGTACCTTCCCAGTCAGAGTTCCTTTCAGAAAAAGTACTATCATTGTAAATTGGAACAAAATTGCTGGTAAGTTGTTCTCAGGAAAAAAAAAGTCCGATATATTTTTCAACTAATCAACTTTCTTATATTTTCCCGTTTTTCTTATTTTTTTTTTTCGGTTTTTCACATTTGATGATAAAACTCTTGAGAAAATCGAAAAATAATCCCCCTAAAGTACCGCCACAAGAAAATTTCATTTCAGAAATATGTTTACATCATATACACCGGAGTAAGTTTTCTGGCAAAAAAGTATTCACATAAAAAAATAAAAATAAACATCTTCGTAAAACCAATACATTCATCGCTTCACTCAGAATCTAATACATAAAATCATAAAATACATATATTGATATAAATTGATTATTCAGAATAAATCTAATTTACAAGCCAAGCTCGTTTACCAATTTTTTTTTTTTTTCAAAATCTGTATTTTTGTCTGTACATTAAGAATCTAAAAAAAATTCGTATGAACTTCGTTTGGAAGTTATGGCGGAAAACTTCATGAAGTTCAGTATTTCCGTTTCACGATTTCTTAGTAAGAATTTGAATTTAACGTTTTCAAATTATTTTTTCCCCTAAAAAATGTACAGTTTTTAATGCTTAATCCATTTAAATAATCAATACTCACCTATCATACTTACTTTTGAAGTTATTGTACATAAACCTTGAAAAATAGCATTTTGGATGCACCTAGAGACCTGGCGGGGTCACTCGATCGCTACGCTTGCTCCGAATGTTTTAATAAAAAATAACCCGCGATTTGTTGTGCATAACTACGTCGTGTAGTTATTAAGGAAAAATGAAAAAACATTTTGGGTGCATCTAGAGACCTAATGGGGTCACTAGGGTTTGAACGTTTTTAACTTTTAATCTAAGCCAAAAGACTTATTCTGAATTTACTAAAAACCTTTGTTATCAAAATATCAATATCTACAAATCATAATAAAAATAAAAACGACCATAGTTTGGATTAATTTCAAAAATGCTACGTATCAAATGTACAATAACTATAAAAGTATGTATGATAGGTAAGTTTTGATTATATCAATCGATTAAGCATTAAAAATCACAAATTTTGGGGAAAAATGAATTTGAAAATGTTCAATTCTCACTAAGAAATACGCGAAATGGAAACCCCGAATTTCATGAAATTTTCCCCCATAACTTCCAAACGGAGTTCGTCCGACTTCATTTTTTTTAGATTTTTAATGTACAGGCAAACACATACATTTTGAAAAATGAGCTTGGATCGTAAGCTAGATTTACACCGATTATTTTAGCACGTTTTTCTAATTTTTAAGAGAATGAATTATATATGTATAATGCGAGAATGTTGGTATTTTTTTATTTTTTTAAAAGAATATTAGCATCATATTTTAGGCGTTTTAAGAGAATATAAATCCGGACTACAGTTATTAATGATAACACAGCCGTTCTGTACAATATTATTATTATTATTATACAGGGACTGTAGTCCACATTAAATATTATAATTACACGCGCTTCAAGAAACTTCCGCGACCGTTGTACACGGACGTTTAAAACTCTTCTCCGCGGCTGTTATTTATGTTTTCAGTACAATTTAATGGCCCGTCTTAAACCCGGACCCGTCTCGAGCAGAGGTCGTTTACTACAGTAACAAACCGGGTTTACTTTAATAATAAAAAAAACAAAAAAAAAAACGGTATAAACTAAATGCAGCATAGTGAAACGGCGCGGAGAAACAAATTAAAATATGAAATAACGTTTTTTTTTTCTACGATCATTTTGCAAAACACCCAAAAACGCGGCGTTTCGATTTTTCAAAATATAAATCATCCAGTCGTCGAGCTTTTGAGGGACCGAACGGTACGGTCAAATAACGATTAGTTTGGAGGTTAGGTTAGGTGTGGAGACGACGACGGCGACGCCCATCGGTTTTTTTATTTTAAAAAAAAATATTTTTTTAAATAAAACCCCAATTAATTAAGTACGGTTTATCACGCTCCGTCGCGTTTTTTTTTTTTTAATACCGTTAAACTTTTATCTGATCGCATACTATATTGAAACATTAATGCATCACACCGCACTGCAAGAGATTATATACGTACGTACGTATACGCATTGTTGAATTCCAAACGAGTACCTACCGTACGTGGATCGGTGTACTATCATTTATCACGACCAAACGTATAAACTGGGTCAGGTTTTTTTTTTTTTTTAAATTAAAACAAGGTTATATTGTTACGCGTGTAGCACGATAGGCAATATTATAACTTCTTTTAACCCGCACAAGTATATTTTATTGAATTTCGTACTCGAAAGATAAATCTCACCAAAAACTCGTTTGGTTCACAATAATTGCCGGTGTACACAAAAAAGTACGTTGTAAAAATGTATAGTTATAATCATATATAAGTGTCGAAAATCGAACATTTTTCGTCTGGGATTTTTTCGGAGGTTTTTCCGATTTGCGTCCCGCGACAAATGCCCGGCGACCGATATTTTCGCATCGCAATAATCCAGAGTCGCAAAAGTACATTGATTTTCAGCCAAAACCCGTCCGAATCCCGACAAAACTCATCGAGGAAAAATTTTGAAAATTTTCATTAACGTTTTTAAATGTATTGGAGAGGTTATTGTACATTGGGAAAAAAGTTGGACATCGACTATAAATAGTTTTGAGATACTTTTTATTACAATTTTTAACTAGTTAAAAAAAAAAATTAAAAAAAATAGAACGATAAAAAATATCATATACGAATAAACTGTAAGTTATTTTTACGATCGTTTTGTTAAAATGTATACATAAATTCTAAAACGTTAAAAGTAAAGTTATTTATGATTTTTTTTCCGGGTACCTGACGGAAATTACACATTTTTACATATTATAAATAATACGTCTATATAATAGTCTGAATATCAGACGTTTAGGGAGTCAGTTAAGTTTATGATTTGGTTAGGGGTGATTTTAAAAATTAACTTTTTACCAAAGTTGTTATTTTCCTGAATATTTTCAACCCGACCTTAACTCGGCTTGGTTGTGTGTATGGTTTTTTGCATACATAATATATACATGATAATTAAACACGAATTGCCGAGTTAAACAAATCGATAAACTAGCCCGGATACGGTCGGGCCGCGCGCGCGAAGGATTACGCCGTTTTAATAAATAAAAATGAAGAAAAAAAAAAAACAATCAGATTTTAGCGGTTTCGTCAAATTAATGCTCAACGTACGTCACCCAACACCCGCTGCTGTAGCAGCAATCGACATGCGGTATCTCGCACAGCTGATAAACATAAATAATAATAGCACAGGTAACATAATATTATATAGGTACTTACCACAAAATCATTTGGAGTGGATTAATGAATTCCGTGGTCGTCTACGTGTCGTCGTCAGTGGTACGACGGAAATGGCGGCGTCGGCGGTCGTCTTACCGGCGACCGACGTTTCGGCAATAATCGCGGGGGCGGCCGTCGTGGTTGATTTTGTCGTTGTCGAACGACAAACGGACGACGTCGGCGAACTCACCGCCAGTGGCGGCAGCGGCGGGTACTGCTACTTCTGTCGCAGTGGTGCTTAGTGGCGTCTATTGGACGAGTAGCGAAAATCGTCTGCGTGGAAACAAAAAAAAAAAAAAAAACAAACGAAACACGTTATTACGGGCGTCTAATTTAATATAGTATTATAATCAATACATATAGAAAATAAATCATATTCGATTATTTAACGTCACTACTCGACTATGTTATTATCTTTGGTGTCGGGGAAGAAGGACTGATGATTCGATTTCGTACACAGTTTTCAATGCACGCCGATTAATAGCCGATAATCGCTAAATAACATTGCGACAAAATATATGGCTAGTCGTAAAATTATACTGTTTTAGACGTTTTAATTGTTTGCGGTATAACACACGCGTGTTAGAACGTATGTATGTACATTGTACATTTCAGTAAATGTCACTTGTATCGTTTACACAAAAAACAAAAACAAATACCAAAAATCCACTTGAGCCCCCGACTTTCCAGCGACCAAAGACACGAGACACGCACGCAGTTATTAATCGCATTGGAACCGGACGAGTATGTAGTCGTTATTATTATTTTTTTTTTTTTTCAAAATATGTATGTACGCGTACGGGTATGTCGGATAATAGGTCGATTTAACAAAGTTGTAAAAAAATAAAAAAAAAAACCGATAACTTATCGCGTTTTATACGGAATAGTATCTATACGTCCATCTATACGTATAATATATTAGAAGCGCTCAATCGAGTAAAACAGTCATTATATGATGCGGACGAAAAAAATGTATACAGTGTGTACAATAATCATTAATATTTGACGATCGAGAAATTGTTAATGAAATCGACGGTAGCTCTTCTATTATATTGTTTAGAAAACAAAACAAAAAAAATAAAACCTATACAATTTTTTTCACGACAGTATTTATACAGATATGCAAATAATACGCGCGCGTCATTTTAATTTATTATCACCGTTTAATACTAATAATCATTATCAATAATATAAAAACTTCAGAGTCTCCTTCTCGAGAAGTTAACGCGCGCGGGTACACTCCGCTATAAATTTTCTCTCAAATGATTAGCGCGAACAATAATTTTATTCTGCGGTTTTTTTTTTTATTAACACTTAACGAACGTTTTTTTTTTTTTTAAGGCCGCTCATTTTATATGTATTATTGTTATTATATTGTTTTAAAACGCTCGTCGTCGTGTCACCGCAGTTCAATTAAAACAAAAATTATTTTCAAGTATAAAGTAATATAATAACATTATCTGTATTTTAAGAGAGGAATTTTACATTTTTACGTTTCGAGTGTATACAATGAATAGAGAAGCGGGGCTATTATTATATATAGTTTCGCTAAGACGCGGGTGGTTTTTTTCTCGCGAAACATTTTTCCAGTTATACACGTACAAATGTTCTTCAAGGTACACAAACTTTATCTGAAACGTTTTTTGACAGTTTCAGCAGTTAAACCACTATCAGGTCCTTTTTTTTTCTTTTCGGAGATTTCTGTAAGGTTTCTCCCTTTGGCTACAAGCGAAAAACACAACTTCAATGAATATAAAATTCAGATCAGAGCAGTTGTCCGTTTGCGCAACGGCCCGTCGTTTCATAAAGCACGTTATAGATCAAAGCGCCTTGTACATTCTATATAACCTTCCCGACTATACCCACCTACGCTAGTGGCTTACCCGCGATCAGTATTGACATTTTCAATGATGCGATTGTCGTTTCATCCACCGAAAATACTCGTTTCTCTTTCGGATATATTTTATTTGGCACGTGTAAATTTATCGTCGATTAATGTGATATTATTATTTTTATTATTGTTATTAATATTTATATATACACAAGTGACCGAAAATACAAGTAATCAAATTAAAATCGAAAAAAAAAATAATAATAATAACCACCGCGTTTAATTTGTAAAAATAATAAAAACAAACATACGTAAGTACGGATAAATAATTCAAAATATTAGTAAAATAAATACATTTTAAATAAAATAAAAAACAGCGTTTGGTTTATTTGTTTTTTATTGTATAAACTCGCGAAAAAAAGTGAAAAAAAAAAAACGAAACGAAACAAAACAAATACGGGATTTTCAATACAAACACGATAATAATGTTGGAACAGCGAGTGATTTGTCGGATTTTCATCAATAAGACTACGCTGGCGAACATCTTGAATAAAGCGAAACGCAAACAATCGCGAACAATTTCCCGCTTTAATTTCTGTATTATATATAATACGGCTGGTCGTTTAGAAAAAAAAAAAAAAAAAACACATAATATATAAATTTAAAAGACTAACGACGCGACGTAAAATAATAATATGACATCGTCCCGGCTATACTATATTATATTTATTATTGCGATTGTATATTTGTTTAAGTAACACGATAATCTGCTGGTTCCCCGACATTTCGATAATTTTTCACTAGGCACCTATAAATAGTGAAATAGAGACAACAGCGAGCACTTGAAATCGCGCGATTTCGCATATTGTTATGATGTCGTCGCGCGCATATTTTAGATTTATTATACACTATATACAACCTTTAACTACGACGCGAGTTAAAAAATATCTTTTTTTTTTTTTTATCTTGTTCGTGCAGCAGTCATAAAATAAATAATTCACCTACACAGTATAAAATACACTACGAAGAAAACCGCACGTTCGCTTTGAATTTTTTTTAACTGTTGTAACCGGGGTTAAGTACCCACCTAAGTAAAATCCGCGTACACAACGGTGAACGATATTAAACGAACGCAATACTTGTATTATAGATTCTGAGTAAAGCAATATCGGTTTTACTCGGTTTATCTCGCTTTCAAATCGGAAGCTTTGCAGGGACTTTTTTCAAGCATTTTTAATCAGGTCGATGTTTTGTATGTTTTTCTTAATAAATTAGAAAAACTGGCGATTTTTCGTAGACATTTTGTTTATTTCTGTGTTACCTTGACAACAAAATACGAATAATAATACTCTGTTCAGAATCGTAAAATTAATACGGATTTTTCGGTAATTTATTTGAAATATTTTATCGAAATTCTCAAAACTTTTCCCAAATAATTGCTTTTTTTAGACTTTTTGGTTAGACAAATATGCTATTTTTATACTTCGCAACTATACACAATTACAATATTTTAAAACTGGGGAAAAAAGCTCACAACTTATTAGAAACCATTTTGTTCACAGTGTTCTAAACTATTGTCGGCAAAATATTTAATATTTTAGTTTTGGTAAGGTTAGTTTTTTTGATAATTTGATAGTAAAAAATTATAAAATAATAAAAATTTCAACGATAATAATAATTTTTGTACGCGCATATTTTCCATATGCGTCATGTTAAGTGTTTAACATTATAATAAAGTTGTAGATTAAATTTTAAATTAACAACCCAGACGACTACGGTTAAATATTGTACTAATATTTTATCATAATATTACGTAAAAAAAAAAATAATAAAAATAATAAAACCTATTAGAGCGAACATATTATCTCATACATTATAATGTATACGTACAAACGGGTACACTATTATAGCACACACAGATAATAATAGTACGCTTAAGTTTTATGTAACCGGACAATTGTTTTTTTTTTTTATATATATGAAATTATATGAGCTGTTTGTCGTACATGTACATGTACCGGGCGACCCGCAGTGAAAAAACTCAACAGCTTCGTACCAGCATATTATAATATTTTACCATAACTACGAAATACAGTTTAATCTAATATAAAGTTTCTTGAAATTAGATACAGAATATTCTCGTTGGCTGCAAAATATAATAGTATATTATAAATTTCGTACTTTGTGAACGACATAGTTTAAAAAGTATTACGATTCGATACACCGACGATGTAATAACAAAATAAAAAAAAACTTAAAAAAAGGTAGTATACGGTCAGATAGAGTTATTCGATTTACATTTGTACGCGACGCGATCAATCGACGCTAACGAATACGGTTCTGTAGTTCGGTCAAACGCGTTTTGAAATGCCGTACATTTTACTCAAAACCTTTTTACAGACGCAATATGAAACCAATATATGCTATTTATCGCTGCAGCGCTCGCAATCTAAAAGGCTGATGGGCGTGCCACTATTTTAGGATGGAAGTTGGATACATTACAGATTAACATAATTTATATCTATAAATACGCGACTATAAATCGTTGCAAATGTAAAACGATTCTGATACCTCGCTTGGCGATACCACTGTTACCGGTATTTCGGTATACATAGTTATTGTAAGTTGACTGTTTGTAATCCGCATTCTCGTTGCAAATAAATTTTTATCAGCCACCAATCGTTAATATTTGAAAAACAATGACTCGGACTGAAGCTAAAAATAAGGTAAAAAAAATTCTACGAAATATTGAAGGTTAACGCCATAAATCGTATTTTACAAAAATTTCCAGAACGGATTCCCTATTTAAATAAGCTATTAAAAAAACCAGAGTACTGTACCTCAGATATATATTTAAAATGCGACTCAAGAGCCTTTATACACAGAAATTAGAAAACAATGTGAACAATATTGTGACGGACAATATCCAGGAAACGAGCTACGTTTATGTTCCGATCCGCACGATGCGATTCCAGAACTATCGGTCCAATAACAATGTTATTGAAACGATCAAAATACTTAAACCCGACATTAAACAGTCGGTTGAAGACACCAATATTTTAAGAATGCGGATATCTTCATTATAGCACCGAAAATCGAAGACTGTAACGATTCCGGGATATCTGTCCAGGTGAATATTATTCTCGAGAACGTACAATACACTATTGAACCAACGGCTTTGAATAATTGTATTGAAAAAGTATTTTATGTAATAATATTATATAACATTAATATTATGTAAATCGTGCAAAACTGTAATCACCGAGGTTGAAAAATATCCAAACGTAGAAGATTATCAACGGGCTGTACGTGAATTGGACGAACGCCAGTATATTGTATCCATGTCCCTTGCCGTGCGTGCAAAACACGGTTGTTATTCTACACTCCGCGATAGTTTGATCAAGAACTTTG